TCATCTCACAAGCGCTCCTTGCACACGGGGGTCGGCGAATTTGCCGCTGTTGCGCGGGCCCGGAAAGAAGGGGTACAGTGCCCAACAGCAGTTCCTGTGCCTTTTGAAAAGGATTCGATGTCCACGCCGCCGCTGCCTGTGTCCATTCGAGGCAGGAGGCCGCCTGTCCAACAGCGGCCGCTGTTGGTTTGGGACAACATTTGTTGTTGGGCATTGTACACATTCTTTCCGTACCCATTTCGGGCGTTCAAAGAGGCAGGAGGAAGGACAGGCCGATGTGTTCACCGCCCCAGGGGAACAAAAAGTGGCAGAAACATCAAACCTCAGAGGTCCGCGAGGATTTCTCGGATCGGCGCTGGGGCCCCCCGGCGGCGCCTCCGGCGCCGGCCCTGGCAAGCTCCGCGCGCCAGGGAGGGGGGCCCAGCGCCAATCCGAGAAATCCGCGCGGACCTCCGTGTTTTTATGTTTATGCCACTTTTTGTTTCCCTACGCCCGGGTGACATTAGGGGTCACTTATGCTCGCTTTCTGGGAGTCTGGCTTCGTTCACCCCCACTTCTTGGGCTTGAGGAGACTGCTCGGTCATAACCTGCGAAAGAAAGATGGATGATGATGATGGCGATGATGATGATGATGATGATGATGATGATGATGATGATGATGATGATGATGATGCTGATGCTGATGATGATGCTGATGCGATTGGCGGTGAGGATGGTGATGGTGATGATGATGATGATGATGAGGATGGTAGATCTGATGCTGATGGTGATGCTGATGCGAATGACGGTGTGTATGATGGTGGTGATAATGATGATGTTGTTGATGATGATGATGATGATGATGATGCTGATGATGATGATGATGATGATGATGATGGCGAGGATGTGGAGTTCATGGTGAGACTGAGGCTGGTGCTGAAAATGATGATGAGGAGGAGGACGACGAAGACGATGGTGATGTTATGAGTCTGATGAGGGTGAGGATGATACAGCTGACGCTGATGGTGGCGATGCTGTTGATGACGCTGATGGCTTTGCCATTGGTGATGATGGATCGATGTCGTTATGGTGGTGATGATGATTCCTGCCGATGACGACGATGGTGAAGGTGAACATGGCGATGATAATGATGCTGATGATGATGATGATGATGACGATGACGATGATGATGATGATGATGATGATGATGATGATGACGATGATGATGCGGCTGATGGGGTTGATGGTGCTGCTGATGCTGAGGATAGTGACGATGGTGTTGATGAGAGTAATGTGGAGAAAACGGAGAAGGAGGAAATGGAGGAGGAGGAGGAGGAGGGGGAGGAGGAGTACGGTGCAGAGCATGCCATGTGAGTTACCATAGCCCATAGCAGATTCTGGCCGCTGATACACTCATCGCGAAGAAAGCGACACTTCGCCTTATTAGATTGTTCAGACTTTACTACGACCGATTACCACATGACCATGTACAGTAAGTAGTCAAGCGGACAGAGACCAGGATGCGGCATTACGTACAAAAGGCTACCTTGAGGCGCAAGCCATAGAGCCAGCCATCACAGACCAACACACGGAACGAGTGATACTACCTGAGGGCGGGTTGCTACACCATAAGACAGCCACCGGAGCCACAGCACGTACAAGCATATCAGGATTTGGTGCTCATCGCGGGCATTCGCTACCACTTCCCACAATCAAAGGTGTAGTGCTATTTTCGTTTTTTTTTTCCAGGACGACGCTGATATCAAGATCTAGAACATTTCGTCGAAACCAACTTGAACTTGCCCGTGGAAGTCAGCAGTCTTGGCCTTGCTAGCGGCCCACATTTGGGGGAACCCATTGCAGCCAGTACAGTCGCGTGATGGATTGATTGCTGGAGTACATGATCAGCTTTGACCTGTGCGTGTTCGACAGGCGGAGTAGGGCACCGACGACATTTAGTCCACGTAGGCCTACCACGTTTAGTATGTTCACGATGCGAGCATGTCGAGGTCGTGCTCACAGGATTCGCCTGGCTCACGCCAGGCCCTGGCCTCGCGCTCTGCGGCCCTCGGCCGGGGTCCCGCGCACCGTGTCCCTGCGCCGTTTTCCGAGCCGCATCGCTCTGCTTGGGCTCCCAGGCCCGAACCGAGGCGGAACCGCCCGCTGTGAAAAAAAACAACGCCAGGATCTCAGGACGTCGCCATCACCATGATGGTGATGATGATCGACAGTGATGATGATGGTGATGATGATGATAATGATGATGGTGATGGCGATGACGATGACGATGATAATGCGAATCATCACCATCATCATCATCATCATCATCATCATCATCATCATCATCATCATCATCATCATCGTCTTCCTCATCATCATGATCGTCAACCTCAACATCACCAGCACTGCCACCATCATCGCCGTTACCATTCACTACCACCATCATCGGCTTCCACATCACCATCGTCGTCATTATCATATTTATCTTCGTCGTCGTCATCGCCACCATCATTCTCATCATCTTCACCATTGTCACGATTATACGCAGCATCATCACCACCGTGATCATCATCATCATCATCATCATCATCATCATCATCATCATCATCATCATTATCATCATCATCAACATGATCAACTGTCTCTTCCCCTTCAGCATCATCAAGAGCAATCAAGTCAGCATCAGCTTCAGCATGAGCGTCAGCATCAGCACCCACTTCCCGAGCCCCGGCCCCACGCCACGCGCGGCCCTCCGACAGGCGGTCGTTCGACGAGTCGCTGGGGTCGCGCGAGGCCTGGAGCTCGCCTGCTGCAGCCGCCGGCCGCGGCCTCGCCCCGCCCCGACTCGCCGTGGCCTCGCCGCGGCGGCCTCGCCGCGGCGGCCTCGCCGCGGCCCCGCCGCGGCGGACTCTTCGCGGCCCCGCTCCCGCGGCCTCGTCGCGGCCTCGCCCTCGCGGTCTCGCCGCGGCCCGACTCGCCGCGGCGGCCTCGCCCTCGCGGCCTCGTCGCGGCCTCGCCGCGCCCCGACTCGCCGCGGCCTCGCCGCGCCCCGACTCGCCGTGGCCTCGCCGCCGCGGCCGCGCCCTCGCGTCCTCGCCGCGGCCGCCCGCCCCCCGCCGGGCGACGTCACCTGGACCAATATTTTGGGGGACCCCTCGCGGAGGCGTCCGTTGCCGCGGGGCGGGCGGGGGCGACTCCGCAGGGGAGAGGGAGAGAGGGAGAGAGAGAGAGATCGCTACCACTGCTTGTGCTGGAGAGCCCTCGTCATGATTCGGGACGATCGGGTACGATACCCAACAGCAGCTCTTGTTCATTCTGAACAGGACTCGCTGTTTGCGCCGCCGCGGACGCTGTTCTTTGAACATCAGAAGCCGCATGCCCGACAGCGGCCGCGGTCAGTTTTGGACAACATGTGTTGTGGGGCGTGACAATTTACTCCGTACCCATTCCGGGCGCCCAAGATGATGGCAAGATTCCCTTCGAATTGCTGAGCAGAGTGCAAAAGGGGAGAGGTCTGGGGAGTAGCGGTATCGGTGCCTGTTGGCCGCCCCCCCGTGGGGGAGGGGGCCGGTGACGTCACGAATCGCGCTGGCGCCGTCTGGGAATCCAGCTGCCCCAGGCTATGCCCAGATGGCGCTGGCGCGAATCGTGACGGTCCCCCCTCGGGCACCATAGGTTAACCATCGATGAATACAGTTCTTGGTAAACGTAGACTTTCGGAGCTTCGCGCGGATTTCTCGGATCGCTGCTGGATCTCCCCTCTGGCGCGCGGATAGCGCCAGGAGCGGTGCCGGAGGCGCCGCCAGGGTGGCCCAACGCCGATATCCAAGAAATCCGCCGGGAGTTCCGACAGTTTGTGTTTGTGCACTTCTATTTGTTTTCCGTCCAGATCACCTCACCCGTCGTGGTCAGTCCTTGGCCCAGGACGGGTGTATGGGCACCTTTGGTCAGGCCAGGCGGGCGTGTGCAGCGACCCTAGGCGCAGGATGGGCCTGGCCACGATCGGTGTGGTGGTCAGTTTTGGCGGCGCGCAGAGGGGGGTAGGGGGAGGGGGGATGGCTCCTTCGAAGCACCCCTGCTTCTTAGCAGGCTTGGACCTTGTCTGTAAACGTAAGGCCCGCTGCTTCTAAGACTCCTTCTAAGAAGCCTTCCCCCCTCCCCCTGCCCCTTGTGCGCGCCGCCAACAGTTGGCGTCGCCAGACCCTGGTTGCCACGCTCGCCGCTGCCGCTCCTCCTCGGCGCTGTCCCTCCTGTCGCTGCCGCCCGGTGCCGCTGCTGGACGTCGCGGCTGCTGCCGATGCTGCTGCTGCTGCATCCTCCTCCTTACTACCTTGACACGTGTGTGACCAGACATTTGGGCTTCTCTTGTGGCCCTCGTGGGGCCGTTTAGGATGCATATAGGCCCCGCTTGGGCTCTTTTGGGAATCTCTTGCGGCTCTCTCGGGGCCTTTTTGGGCCATCTCGGCGTCACTTCGGGTGTGTCTTGGGGCCCTCTTTGGAGGGTCTTTGGGCCGTCTTGGGGTTGTCTGGGGCGGCCTCGGAGCCATTTTTGGGCCGCCTTGCAGGCCAACCGGAAGTTCCGGGGCAACGTGGGACCACTTTGAGGGCACCGTGAGCTCACCAGGAGCAGTTTGTAGGCATCCTGGAGCCTCTCAGAGGCGTCGTTTGAAAGTGTTGCTGCCCAGCGGCGCTTCCGCGGTTCGAATTCCTGTTCTGCTGGGCTGTTGTGTTGTCGTGTTGCCGTCTTCTACGCCCCGCGACCCGGCCAGCGACCCACCCGCGCCCTGCCCCGCGTGACCCATTCGTGACCCACCCGCGATCCTCTCGCGATCCACCCGCAACCCACCTGCGGCGCACCCACGACCGACCCACGACTCACCCGCGACCCGCCCACGACCCACACACGACCCACCCGCGACCCACCCGCGACGCACCCGCGACGCACCCGCGACGCACCCGCGACGCACCCGCGACGCACCCGCGGCCCGTGGGAGAAAGCGTAGGGACTTCTAGGGGCCGCGCAGGGAGGAAGACGGTACATCGGATCTTCGGGTCCTCGTCTTGTCGGCTCTTGCGAATCGTCGCTGGTCGACGCTAAGTCGACGCCAATCGACGCTGCTAACTCGACGCCTCTCGAACGCTAGCCGACGCTTCGTCGGCCTTAACACCTCGGCTCCCAGACGCCAATCGACGCCCTAACTCGCCGCGCCGCCCGCGCCGCGGCGCCCGGCGCCAGGCGCAGAGGTCCTCTGGCTCCAGGAGCCCGCAGCAGCGGCGCCTGGAGGCGCGCATGGCGGCGCACTCGCCCACCACAGTGGCTGGGTGCCTGGGCGACCCCCGCCCTGCGTTGCTCTCTCTGGTATGAAGAGGCGGCGGGGGAGAAGGCAGGGTCCCGCCCCCGGCGGCTCGTCCACATGCGGAGGGTGTCTCGGAGCTCCCATCGACACGACACGGCGATGGCCGGCCACGTCGATTGTGCCACAGACCTGGAACTTGGCTCTTGCGAGGATGTGTGTGTGTGTGGAAGTGTGGAAGGGAGGGCGGAGAGTGTGGGTGGGTGGCGGAGGGGGAGGAGCAGGAGGACGAGGAGGAAGAGAGGGAGGAGGAGAAGGATGAGGAGGAGGAGGAGGGACAGTGATGATGATGATGATGATGATGATGATGATGATGATCATGGACATCCTGATCATGATGTCGATTCGGATGATGATGATGACGATGGTACGTGACGATGGTGGTGGTATGATGATATGATGATGGCGATGGTGATAATCGTGACGATGATGATTATGATTGTGATGGCTGTGGTGGTGATGATGTTGATATTGGTAATGATGAGGATGATGCGTATAATGATGCTGATCATACATATGATTGTGATGATAATGCTGATGATGTTGCTGTTGCTGGTGATGGCGACGATGGTGATTGTGATTAATATGATGATGATGATGCTACTGCTGCTGATGATAATGTTGAAGATGATGATAATGTTGCTGCCCATGGTGGTGATGGTGATGAAAATGATGATGGTAGTTACGTTGATGGTGGAGACGATGCTGATCATACTGACTACGGGGATGACGGTGGTGATGATGATGTTGATGATGTTTCTGATGATGATTATGATGGTGATGATCATGCTGATGATGACCACGAGGCGGGGGACAGGAGGATGATGACGACCGTGTTGATGAGGGGGAGGAGGAAAAAACAACACACGCATGTTGTCGTTGGTGTTGGTTTTGTTGATGATGGTTCGGATGATGTTGCTGATGAGGATGTTCATGTTGATGATGATGGTGAGGGCGAGGGGAACAAGGCCCAGGAGGAGGAGGACGCTTGGGAGCGCCTGGGGGCGCTTCGGAGCGCCTGGGAGCGCCCGGGAGCGCCCGCGCTTGCGAGCCGAGGTATGATGCGTATTGTTTCCCGGCCTGCAAGAGTGATACACGCATACATGTGTATATATGTTTATGTAGTTTTATATATGTCTATATAGGTATGTGTATATATAGGTATATGGAGTATGCATACGCATATGATTAAGTATATGCATATACGTGTGCATATGCATGCACGTTTCGATGCACAGATGCAGATACATGCACATACGCATATATACATATATACACATCTATCTATATATGCCGTTAAATTCAGATCTACATATATATGTAATTAGTTATGTGTCGGTATAGGATTGCCAGCGTGGGGCCCCAACAGCGAGCTAATTCACTTTCGTAGTGTGAACCATGTCTTTAGCTACGGGCGGGCACGGGAGGCAACGTTGCGAATCTGCGACGTACGCCCCCAGGCGGCAACGTTCGGCAACGGGCGGCAATGGATCGGCAGCGTGGCATCCTCGGCATCCCCCCCCCGAGGCGGCGACGGGCTGCGACGTGGCGAATCCTCGACATGTCCCCTGATTGGGCAACGAACGGCACCTGGCAGCAGCGTGGCAGATTCCTTGGAGGAACCTGGCGAACACCACAAAAAAAGGCAACACAGCAGCCCACTCTTTAGAGAGACACGCAAGACTAGCTGACAGTGCCAACACCGGTTGGGTACCATGTGTACACATGTTGATGCATGCATGCACGTATCATCATAGACGTACGTTTATACACATATGTATCATATAGATCTGTAGACGAGATGCTGCGTACCAGTCCAACAAGCAGCCTCCTTTTTTGTTAAAGAAATCAGAACATCTCGCCTGCAAAAACACCATGGTGCCCTGTAGTTCCTGAGAGTGCGCTCGAGCCTTCCATTTTATTCTAGAGCTCTCTCAGGCCCTGTGGTGCATTCCCAAACCTCTGGCATCTACTTTGCGCGCTCTGCTAGGGCACCCTCTAGCCCTGCGAGAGACCTGTAGAGCACTCCATTAAATTGTAAGACCCACGGTCGCGGTCTCAACTATAAGGTTGCAGCCGTGAGCCTTGTGGGGTTTCGGACAGCCCTACAGCAACTTCTAGCACACTCAATGATTCATTATCCATTTAAAGAGCCCGGAAATCCACGACGGGCTGCGTGAGTCCCCGAGTTCGCCGTGCCTCCCGGGAGCCCGCGAAAGTGGCGACAGTTTCGCTTTCCGCAGCCCCTCCACCCGGGAGCCGCGATCATGATTATGATTACGATGTTGATGTTGTTGATGATGATGATGTTGATGATGCAGATACTGATGATATTGTTGCTGATGATGGTGATGCTGCTGATGCTGGTGATTATGATGGTGGGTGATGGGTTATTGCGAGTAGTGGGTAGTGATTGATGATGATGATGATGATGATGATATTGGTGACGATGTTGATGATGCTATTGGTGGTGTTGATGTTGATGTTGAAGATGAGGATGATGTTGGTGCTGATGCTGATGAGGATGCTATTGATGATATGTTGAGGGTGCTGTTGGTGATGATGATGATGCTGATCTTGCTACGGATGCTGATGATATTGCTGCTGATGATAGTAAGGGTAATGACGGTGATGATGAATACTAAGATGTTGATGATGATGTTGATGATGATGCTGACGATGATGATGATGATGATGATGGTGATACTGCTGATGATGATAATGATGATGCTGATGATGATGATGATGATGATGATGATGATGATGATGGTGATGATGATGATGATGATGGTGGTCATTATGTTAATGATGCTTTGTTGCCGCAGTTGTGTGGATACGCCTGATCACCCGATGCTGTGTGCTCTCGCGTGGAGCCGCAACCGCGCGTTGCAGATGCAACGGCTGCCCGATGGTTCGACAATCCCTACTGTGTCTGCACCCCGCCTCGCGGGTGTGACGGCCTCTTGTGATTGGAGAACGACTCCAGCCCGGCAGTACGGGCCCGAGGAACCATGGAGACGATGGCCCTGCGCACGCCCAGGGGTATAGGGACACGCCGAAGAAGCACGCCTCCGTGAAGCACGTGTTCATAACGAAGCATGCCCTCGCGAAGCACAGCTACCCTCGAAGCGTGCCTCCGTGAAGAACGCCTCCGTGATGACGCATACTTCCGTGGAACAAACGTCGGTGCAGCTCGCTGCCGTGACGCACGCTCCGTGAGGCACGCTTCCATGAAGAACGCCCCCGTGAAGCACACCTCCATGAAGAACGCCTCTCCGAGGAAGTTCGCCTCCATGCCGAAGCACGCCCCCATGATGAAACACGCCTCGATCAAGCGCGCTCGATGATGAAGCACGCCTCCGCGACGCACACCTGGATAATGAAGTGCACTTCTGCGAAACACGCTGCGTGAATCACGGCCTGGAGATGAAGCACGCCTCCATGATGATGAAGAACGTCTCCGTGACGCACATCACCATTAAGTGCGCCTGCGCGATGAAGCAAGCCTTATTATGCACGCCTCCCCGATAAAGCACGCCTCCGTACTGAAGCACGCCTCCATGAGGGAAGCGACAGTATGGGCTTGTTTCGCCGCCGAGAGCGCGGTCACCGCTGCCTCCGACTGCACAGACGGCTATCGGTGTTGTTGCTGCTGCCGTTGCTCAAATAGCACACCAACATGGATCGGATCCCGCACCCTTGAACGCGAAGTCGACTCCTGACAGGCAGTGCGAGCCCGAGGAGCCATGGATATGATGGCCCCCATGCGCCATCACCCAAGAAAGGAGGGACACGCCGATGACGTCCGCCTCCGTGAAGCACGCCACCACGATGAAGAAGGCCTCCGTGAAGCGGGCCTCCCCGATGAAGCACGCTTCGTGATGGAGCCTCCGTGACGCACGGCTGCCCGCGAATGCGCCTCCGTGAAGCGGGAATCGCCAATGATGCACGCCTCCGCGACGCACACCCCGGCGACGCACGTTTCCATGAAGCACGCCGCCTTTCGGCGCGCCTCCGTGAAGAACGCTTCCGTGAAGCACACCTCGATGAAGCGCGCCGCCTTGAATAAGTTTTGCTCCCTGATGCAGCTTCATTATGAGGCGCGCTTCTGTAAATTACACTTCGATGCTGAAGTGCGCCTCCGCGAACCATGCTTGGATATTAAAATACACTTCCTCGAAACACACCTCCGCGAAACACACCTCGGTAATCAAACGCGCCTCGATGATGAAGGCAGTCTCCGTCCACCGCACCACCGTGAAGCAGACCTCTGGGAACACATCCGTGAACGCACAACGGAAAACTCCACGAGTGGAGCACATCAAAAGCAGCGTTGGCCCGAACACCGATATGACGACTTGTCCGAGTCTCTAAATGAAGAGCCCTACGAGCACTTCGAGTACCCCCGCGAGGAAAACAATTGTGCATTGTACTTCGCGAGCAGCCCGCGAGGGTGATGTACCCAACGCTGAACCACGCCGCAATGAGGCACGCCACAACGAAACCCTCCACGATGAGGCACGCAACGGCGCACGCTCAGATGAAGCGCGGCTTGATGAAATGCCCACGACGGGGCGCACCCTGAATAACCGCAGCGATAAGAACAACCATCTGTCACATAGCGGTGGGGCCAACATAGCGCTGGTGCCAACTTGATAGCGCTGGTGACAAACATGAGCCACTGCGCACCAGAAGCCACGAGGTATACCACACGACCCGTGCGCCGTCAGTGGGGGCATCCCCGGCCCGGGCGCGGTCAGTCTTGCTCGTTGTAGGGCCGAGCCTGGCAGAACGCAGCAGAACGGATCACCACTTTTGATGTACACGAGGACCGCGAGGAGGGTGCGCAACGCTGCCGCGGCAGAGGTGCTTTCTCCACGTGCAATATTTTTGCCTCGAGGTGTTCTGGATTTCCTCAAGGTCTTCGTGGCGCTCATGCTGGCCACGCCCGCTTAGAGTTGATTGTATCGTTGATGGCCAAAAAATCCAATAGTATACCCCAGTGAGCTCGGGAAGAGGACGGGCACCACAGGGATCGACCGAGCCCGTGGACTGCGTGGCGTCGACGGGCCACCCCAGCGCACGAAGGACTCAGGGAGCCCGAGAGGATGTGGAGGGACGTGAGCGCCTGCACCGCCGCTGCACAGTGGCCAGGTCTGGTGCAGCAAGGCGACGGTTTGTGGTCGCAGTGGTGCGAATACACAGGATCGTCCAATGCCGTGGGCTGTGGCGGGGAACCGTCGTCGCTTGTTGCAGACGCATCGGCATCGGCTGCCCGAGGGTCGGACACACTCAATTGGAGGCAGGACGGGCAGTAAGGTCTCGAGAGACCATGGAGATGATGGTGCGTGTTATGGTGACGATGGTGATGATGATAATGGCAATGATGATGGTGATGCTGATGATGACGCTGTTGATGATGTCGCTGATCATGGTGCTTCCGATGATGATGGTGATGGGGCTGATGCAGGTGCTGATGAGGACGGTGCTGGTGGTGATGCTGGTGATGCTGCTGATGTTATGATGCAGATAGCGGCGACGATGGTTGATGTTGTTTGTGCTGGCGTTGATGATGATGAGAATGATGATGCTAATGATGATGATGATGACGGCGGTGATATTGATGATGCTGGTGATGGTGTTGATGACGATGGTGCTGGTGAAGCTGTTTCTGATGATGGTAATGGTGGTGGCTATGATGGTGGTGACGGCCATGACGACGATGATGATGCGGATGCTGCTGATCATGATGGTGATGGTGATGCTGCTGCTGCTGATGATGATGGTTATGTTGATTATGCGGGTGAGGATGATGAGGCTCATACTTGTAATGGAGGAAGCGGAGGGGGAGAAAGAGGAAGAGGAGGGTGACCACAGAGCTCTGCTCAAAATGAGAAACTAGCACGGGAGGTTACGGAACACGTACACACAGCCAACCCCCCGCCCCCCTCTCTTCCCCCCTTCCCCGCGAGCCCCTTTCTGGCTCCAGAGCATTCCAGAGCACCCCGGATGCTTCCAACGCCCTTTTAGAGCCTCCTGGAACCTTCTGGAGCACTACAAACCATCCGATGCCCCAGGTTTTCCTGACGAGAGCTTCTGTTAGTGCGGGCTCCTGGATCAGGATACCATCAGTAAAGGGATCCTGAGTGAGGTTGCCTTTCGTACAGAGGCTTCAGTCGGTGTGCGTGTTTTCCTGTAGGGAACAGAATAAACCAGCACCGCCCTCCCCGAGAAACCCCTCCCCGAGAAACCCCGAGAAACCCGAGAAACCCAGAGAAACCCGAGAAACCCCGAGAAACCCCGAGAAACCCCGAGAAACCCCGAGCACCGCCCTCCCCGAGAAACACGAGAAACCCCGAGAAACCCCGAGAAACCCCTCCCCGAGAAACCCCTGTTTGTTCATGTTGTTTGCCGCCCGCCCTCCCCGAGAAGCCCCTCACTGCCCCAGAGCTCTCCGGAGCGCTCCGGAGCTATCCTCAGCCCCTCTGGATCGGGGGTGGACAGAACCCCCAACAGTGACACGTCGATTAGCGAATTGTCCGTTTTCGGTTCTCGAGAGGGCGCCGTGGCCGTTACTTTCCAGGCTTGCGCCCGCCAGGTTTGGGCCTCTGGTCGTTTTCACTAAACCACGTTTTACTAAAGGGGGTTCTGTCCAGCCACTCTGGAGCTTCCCGGAGCCTTCGAAGCTCTCCGAATGCCCTGGCGCGAGCGGCGATCGCAAAGCGTTTCCCTCGTTGGACGAGACCGCGGCGAGGAAGCCGAAACGGACCCAAACATTTTGTATTGGAGCACGTGGGGAGGAATAGTGTGTCAAGACCCCCACCCACACACACACACACACACACGCACACACGCGCGCACGCACGCACACACCGCACGCACGCACGCAGGCAAACACACACACACACACACACACACACCACGCACGCACGCACACACGCACGCACGCACGCACGCACACACGCGAACGCACGCACGCACGCACGCACGCACGCACGCACACACACAGACACACACACACAGACACAGACGTAGACACACACACACACACACACACGCACACGCACACGCGCACATACACACACACACACACACACACGCACGCATGCACGCATGCACGCACGCACGCAGGCACGCACACACACACACACACACACACGCACGCACGCACGCACGCACGCACGCACGCACGCACGCACGCACGCACACACAGACACACACAGACACACACACACACACACACACACACACACACACGCACGCACGCACGCACGCACGCACGCACACACACACACAGACAAATACGCACACGCCTACGCCTACGCGCACGCACTCGCACATGCACAATCACACGCACACGCACATGCACACGCACACCTACACGCACACGCACGCGCACACGCGCACGCGCACGCGCACACTTACACACACGCGCACACACATACACATGTGTATATGTGTATATTTGTACACATATCAATACACCCATATACATACACCTAAGTACACACACGTACGCATGTTGTGTGTATATAACACCAACACAGGTATCTATACAGCCAGAGAGACAGAGACAGGAAGTGAGAGAAAGAGAAACAAGGAAATAAAGACGAACATACACACACATATATATATATATATACAGAGAAAGAGAGAGAGAGAGAGAGAGAGAGAGAGAGAAATAGAGAGAGAGGCGAGCCGAGAGCCGAGAACAGGGAGCCGCACCCGCTCGCTCCCGGCCCGCCCTCCCCAGGCATGGGCGGCGTCGTCGCGGAGGCCAAACGGCTGGCCGGCCGCGACGTCGCGCAGCAGGCCGGGCCGCCGCCGGCGGCGCGCCGCCGCGCCTCTGCAGCCGGGCCGCCGCCGGGGGGGCCAGGGCCTCGAGGATCAATCAGTGGCGAAGCGTCCTGGCTCGCAATCACTGGCGAAGCGTCCTGGCTCGCCCAGAGGCCTACCGAACACTGTTCTCACAATTACCTAACAGCGAAGACTGATAGGTTTCTAGTGGGCTCAATCTAGTGGGCTCAAAAGAGAGCATCTTGACTCCCCAGGGGGGCCAGGGCTTCGATCATCAATCGGTGGCGAAGCGTCCTGGCTCGCCCAGGGGCCTAGCGAACACTGATCTCAGAGCCTTGTGTGGCTTCCACGACATGTTCTCAGAATACTTCTGGCTGGGATTGTTTTCTTATAGGCCATCGGGTCTATGTTCTCAAAAACATTTTTTTAGTTATTGGAACACTTTGGGGTTCGAAGAATATTTCGTGGTAGGCCTATAGGAATTCCAGGACGGTAGGTCCCTGCTCAAGAGGAGCAGCGCGGCCGTCAGGGGCAACGATGGGGGGGGGAAGAGGCACAGGGGGGGACTGCACCGACACGCAAGCGCCCACGGATCGCCGACAGGGGCCCGATGGCCCCAGCCTGCCCAGCGAGGTGCGGGTTCCCTATCGGGGGCCTGTCGCCGATCCATCGGCGACGTATCGCCGATTCCAGGTCGATGCCTCCCCCCCTATGCCTCGAGGCCAAACTCGAGCCTCGAGCCTCGAGCTCGAGGCCAAACTCGAGCCTCGAGCCTCGAGCCTCGAGCCTCGAGCTCGAAACTCGAGACTCGAGTCCCCCCCTGTCGTTGCCCCTCAGGCCGGCGCCCCGAGCCCCGAGCCTCCCAGCGATCCGACGCGCCCCAAGATCGGGGCGATCGAAGCGGGCACGGTAGGAATGTGATCGTTTTTGTTATCCATTGTTTTGCCGATCGGCGCGGGCATTCGCCCTCTCCCCGGTGGACTCGGAGTAGATCTTGGCTGTTTGGGGCGCCTGTTTCGAGCAGGTGGGGTCTCCCCCAGAGGCTGCACTGCTGCAAACAGTGGCATGAAGCAGAGGTCCGGAGCCAGACCCTCCCCCTCCCCCCCCCTTCCTCCCAATGTCGAAACGCCGAATGAAAAAAAAACGCTCACAACAGTGATCGAGCACAAAAAAGAACCCTCACCCCAATTACACGATGAAGGCGCGGCCTCACTGAGGTCCCCGTCCTCGCATTAGGGATGATATATCTGGTCGGCTTTGTCTGATGCGTCTGCAGGAAAGACCCCCCATCCCAAATGTGTTTGGCCATCCTGATTCAGATCGCAATGGAAACCATGCCCAACAGCAGTTTCTGATCATCTTTAACAGGACTCGCGGCTCCGCGCCGCCGCGGACGCTGATCTCTGAAGATCAGCTGGCCCTCCTCCGAGAGGGAGAAGGCAGGAAAAGGCAATTCCCTCGCCCCTCTCCCGTGAGGTTCCCCTCTTGGAGGGAGGATGAGGGAGGAGGGAGGTCGTGGGCGTCCAGAGCCCAGAGGGAGGAGGGAGGAAGGGGGGAGGAGGGAGGAGGGAGGAGGGAGGAGGGAAGAGGGAGAAGGGAGGAGGGAGGAGGGAGGAGGGAGGGAGAGGGAAGAGGGGGGAAGAGGGAGGAGGGAGGACGACGCGCCACCAAACAGATTGGAGCGCGCGGTCGGGGCTGGCTTCGGCCTCCCCGGGGGGGCGCCCTCGCTGGGGGGCCTCGGGCCAGCCATCGGCGGCAACCGAGAGGGCCTCGGGGCGAAGAGCGGGCCCCAGGGGAAGGGGCCTCCAGGGCCTCTCCTCCTTCTCCTCCTCCTCCTCCTCCTCCTCCTCCTCCTCCTCCTCCTCCTCCTCCTCCTGGGGCCACGCGTCGCCAACGGTCACCAGAGGCAGAAGCAGCACTGCCACAAGCTGATTGGGGGGGTGGCCGTCCCTCCCTCCCGAGCTGGCGCACCACCCCGTGCCGGGCGCGCTTCCAGAGAGGTCCCCGAGGGAGGTGCCACCAGCTCGAGGGGAGGGAGCGGCCACCCCCTTAGCTGGTGGTGGTGGTACTCTTTCAGGAGGAGAAAAAGCACACAGACACAATGAATCGTCGATTCCGAGGAAACTATGGGAAAAGATGGGAATCGGGCGGAAAGACAAAAACCCATAACATATAGGAAAATATGGGAATCGGGCGGAACGACAAAAACCCATAAACCATAGGAAAATATGGGCAGCCCCTGTATTTGTGTAGATCTACTTGTCTGAAAAAAGATGGAAGCAGCCGGAGGTCTGGGGTCGCGCCCCCCCCCCCCGCCAGTGCCCAGTCGCTCTCGGGCAGCCCCGAGGGCTCCGAGAGGGGGCCCAGACTCGGGGGCGGAGAAGAGGGGGGTGATGACTAGGGGGGCGGGACGAAAGGGGGGGATAGGGAAAGGGGGGGTTACGAACTTTGCTGCATGCAGCTGGTTTCGGCTTCACCGAGGGCCCCATTCCTCGATACATAGCCGCCTCCGGCGCCGGGGGGCGCCGGGAAAATCAGCTACGTGAGCTGATTCTCAAACCCCCCCTTTGCTATCCCCCCCTTTCGCCCGACCCGAACTAGGGGGGGGGGATATCATGGCGGGGGCCATGAGATTTCCCCAGATTTCACGGCGCCTCTTCCCATTGCATTACGTCCCTGGCCCCCCCGCTGGGCCGCGCACATGCCGCCGGTCATGATTTGCACCCCCCCCTCTTGGACACCCCCCTCTCGGCCGCTCCCGACAGACAGAGGCCGAATCGGAGGTTGATAGACCTCCTACCCTGACGCGTCGATTAGCGAATTGGCCGCTTTCGGTCCGCGAGAGGGCGTCGCGGCTGTCTCATTTTTGCGGGTCCAGGTCCGTCGGTGTCGGTCCTAGGCCGTTTCCACTGAAGGGTGGTTTACTCTAAAGGGAGGTTTGTCCACCGCCGACCGAAGCGGGGCTCAAGGGACGCGGGGTCCATGCAGGCGGGGGCCAGTCAGGGCGCCGGATCCTGCAAGATCCTGCGGAGCCAGGGGTGCACTAACCTGGGCTTGCGCGCCTGATCGTGCAGGATCCTGCAACGCCTGATTGACCCGGGTCAGAGCGTCCCCGACCGAAAACGATGAGGGGCCTCCGTCTCGAGTTTCTCGAGGCGTCGGATGTCTGGTGCCTGCGACCTGCGGTCTGCGAGGTCAGCGAACGCACGCCAGGGCTGCTCGCCGTTGACGCCTCCAGGCAGGGCCAGAACTGGAGCCCTTGGAGGGAACGCTGTCGAGGAGGCTTGCAGGCTCGCCTTGCTGAGCCGTCCCAGCGATCGGGTCCCCCGAGGGCCCCTTCCATGCCCACGCCCGAGCCCAAGAGCTGGGGGGGGGGACAGTGCTTCTCGGGCTCCCGCCCCTCGCTCCGTCGCCCTTACAATGCAGAGATGCTCCGGCCTAGCGCCCCGTCGTGGGCCCGAAGGCAGAAGGCGTGACAGCGGCATGAGTATTTATGCTGTTCCGACTTACTTTCGCCTTGAAACGACCAGAAAGAATTTCGAGCACCTAGAAAGTACCGAAACATTTGGGTTTTCACGTGTCGGGCCCTTGGAGGCGACACTCGTTCGACACTGTTTCGATAGTTTTCTGGGTGCTCGAACTTATTAATCGCTTCGCTCGTTCCGCCGGCCCTGGAGCCCTCTTTCGGGCCTCCTGGGGGCCTCTGGGGGACCTCTTGAGAGTCTTTTGGGGCTCCTTGGCGGCGTCTTGGGGGCCCCCAGGGCCTCTTTGGGGGCTCTTGGGCGCCTCTTGGGGCGGGAGGGGTGTTTCGATCGTTTTCTGGGTGCTCGAGCTTATTTCTGGGATGTGGTCCTTAAGTCCGATGGTAGCAACATGCGTGAATATGAACTTTGGGAGGTTCTCGGGGATCTCTTCGCGCTGGGCTGGGGGCCTCCCTGGCGGCGCCTCTCGCGTCGCCCCTGGTGCGCTCCGCGCGCCGGGGAGGGGGGCCCTGGCGTTAAGTCGGTCCTGTCCCTCTACAGGGGGAATGTTCAAAAATAGTCAAAAATAGTATGGGGATTCTATTTCTAGTATACTGTTGGAGCATTTTCTATTTTTCGTCGAACATCCCCCCGTAGGGGGACATGCCCGACTAAACCCTAGCGCGGATCCGAACGATCTGCGTTTACCTTGGAAGGTTTATGCTTATGCCGACGTCTCTTCTTCTACAGCCAGGATGCTGCAACAGGGACCACTTGGGGTTCCAGACGGGCCCTGGCTTTGGGCCGTTCCCTGGGCCCCGGCCGTGGAGACTTTCCTCGGTTCAGAAAAGCCCAACCGTTACTTACTACGCAGTGTTCTTCATGATGCGGTCAGGAGCTCTGGCTTAGCGCTAAGTCGGGCCTGTCCCTCTGCAGAAGGAAAATTCAAAAAGAGAAACACAAAAGTCTGGGGACGATTTCTTTGAGCATGTGTGCCCGTTCCGGGGGGAGATGGCTCGAGTATTTTGAATTCCTCGCCCAAGAGCCCCCTCGAGGGGGGCACGCCCGACTCGAGCTCAGCGTGTCGCGCCGCCGGCTCTGGCCCCCCACGCCGACCCCCTCACGCGGCGCGGCGCGCGGAGCACGTCTCCGTCCCCGAGCGTCGACGCCCCGAGCCGTTCGCGGCCCCCCCCGCCCGCGTGGGGCGGAGGCGGCGCGGGGTCCGACCGCGGGGCACGGCGCGTCGCCGGGGCCGCCCGCCGCGACGCGCCGCGCAGGCGTTTTTCCCCGAGGACGGCGCGAGGGCGTCTCGTGCGGAGCGCCCGGCCAGCCCTACCAACGCGTCTAGGGGTGCGACGGGGGGGGGCGATTTATAGACAGGAGGGGTAGGAGGAGGAGGAGGAGGAGGAGGAGGAGGAGGAGGAGGAGGAGGAGGAGGAGGAGGAGGAGGAGGAGAGAAGAAGAGGGATGAGGAGGAGGAGGAGGAGGAGGGTGGAGAAGAAGGAAGAGGAGGAGGAGGAGGAGGAGGAGGAGGAGGAGGAGGAGGACTAGTGTAAACCCAAGAGTCATCAACAATGTTGGAATTAACCCTCCCTCCAAGCTCCCTCTTCACAGGCCCCTACAACGGCTCATTTCCATTGAGGGAACTGCCTCGTTGGAAGACAACCGTTTGAAGATCCTGAAGCGTGCCATTCCCGGGATTTCAACGCCACGTATCAACCTGTCTGCTGCGTATTGACGATCCGGAATCTTGCTAGAACGCCATTGTTGGGACGTCATCACCGCGAATCAACATATGTTGCGCCCGCACAATCCTGAATCCTTCCCCCAAACCGTTTCTGGCACATTGATCATGGGAATCAGTGGATTCCTTGCAATGTTTTGCAAACGAATGTGCGCGGCGCTAAGGCGAGAGCTACATTTTGAAAGGGAACCGCCCTCAATCCGCGAAGCTCTTTTACATTTTAAAACGACTGTGCGCGGCGCTAAGGCGAGAGCCACATTTTGGAAACGACCCGCCCTCAATCCGTGAAGCTCTTTCGTATTTAAAACGACATGTGCGCGGCGAGAAGGGGAGAGCCATATTTCGAAAACGACCCGTCCTCAATCCGTGAAGTTCTTGCAACTTCTGAAAACGAATGTGCGCGGCGCTGAGGCGGAGGAGGAGGAGGAGGGGGGGACCGTAGCCATTTTTGCTCAAGCCATGGTTCCCCGCTTTCTCCGCACCCCTTTGCTCATGGCCTGGAGGCGCGCTGAGGAAGCTTGCGTTCTCGATTCGGAGCGCCCGATTGTTCACTGGTTGGCTACGTTACCAGCTACCGCCTCCAGCACAACATGCCCTCGAAGTATAACATGCTAGCTGCACGAGTCGCATACTCGAGATCCCACGCCGCCATCCGCAGGCACCGGTTTCATTGCGAAGTTCTAAAGCGGAACGCGCACCACCCAACAGGCGCTGCGTCAAGCGCGTTGGGCGCTCGGCAACCGTGCTTATCGACGTAACCGTCGCTTCTTCCGCCGCGCCGCTACAGAGAGGCACTAGGTCTTCCAGGACAAGCGCGAGGATAACGAGATCGAGCACGTCAGAGTCGTGCCCACTCTCCGAAGTGAGGCACTGGAGTTCGTCCCAGAGAACTGCATGGTGCTGCCAGCCGTCGCCCGTCTTCCTCAACGCCAACGCCGCCGCCGACGACCTGGCCAAGGAGTGCGCGCACGAGGTCACGGCGCGCTGCAAGCAGGACGTCATCATCCTTCTATTGTTCCTCTTCCTCCTCCTCCTCCTCCTCCTCCTCCTCCTCCTCTTCCCCCTCCTCCCCCTCCCCGCCAGTGCACATCCGAGCGGGCAGAGGAGACCGAGCAGGCGGCCGAGGCCGCCCGGGGGCGAGCCCACGAGCGGCAGGGCGAAGGCGCGAGGCATGGCGAGGGCGGGGGCCACGAGGGGCCCCGCCGCGCGCTCCGCCGCGGCCCTGCCGGCGGCGGCGCGCCCCGCGGCTCCGCCGGCGGCTCCGCCCGCGGCGGCCGCGCAGTTAAGGGGGAGGAGGAGGAGGGGGAGGAGGAGGAGGAGGAGGAGGAGGAGGTGGAGGAGGAGGAGGAGGAGGAGGACAAGAAGGGGGAGGAGGGAGGAGGAGGAGGAGGAGGAGGAGGAGGAGGAGGAGGAGGAGGAGGTGGCGGCCCCCCGTCGCGGCCAAGGGTTTCGGGCCCCGGGCTGCAGCGCACTGCAAGCAGGACTCGGGGGCGGCCAAGAGGGGGCATGTTCTTAAGTGTGTAAAAACAGGTTTGAAACATTTTAGTTTCACACATTTTAAACACATCGTTAATTCAATGATCGGATTGTTAGAGTGTCCATTGCCGTGGCATCCACAAGATTGGGGGGGGATCATGGCGGGGGCCATGACATCTCCCCAGATCTCATGGCGCCTCTTCTTGTTTCATCACGTCCCTGGCCCCCCCTGCTGGGCCGCGCACGTGCCGCCGGTCATGATTTGCACCACCCCTTCTTGGACACCCCCCTTGGCCGCTCCTGAACCGAGAGGGCGGGCGAGACCAACAAGGCGGAGGAGACCAAGGCGACAGAGGAGGCCCGGGTGTTGAGATCTGAAGGTCACAGGAGGGCAGGAAGGCATCAAGAACGACGGGATTCAGAAGTCATTGGAAGCCGAGAAGGCAGAAGAGCGCAAAGGCGCGTAGGCGATAGGCCGCACGACACCTCAAGCGAAGCAAACTGTGCATGCAGATGATCGATGGGACAGCACAGGGCTCAACACCAATACAGGTGAACACCAACGCGGACATGTACGTCAGCGCGTACATCGCCACACAATCGAAGAAGTTGAACGGAGAGATCACCGCCCCAGGTCTCGTGATGATCGAGACCCGTCGGAACACGGCGACAACGGCAAGGAACCAGGATTTAATGGGCACAAGCGTCAATTTGAAACCGAAACCGTACTGGTCCATCGTCACGGTACGGTCGTGATCAACCATGAGGACACCGATTATATCGAGGTGGTGAAGTCGAAGATGGCCAGTCCCATCGGCAAGGCTTCCCCAAAGAAAATCGACTACTCGAAGACACAAGTCCTTTCCAAGCGGGCATTCTTCGGGGAAGTCACGGAGAACAGCGACGTGGACGTCATGCTGATGAAGACGAAGCTGGCCGTGGCCATCGTCAAAGCCAACCATTATGAAGGCCCTCAAGGACGAGTTCGGAGAGCCCCCCAAGCATGCGACGAACCTCGCCATCAACGCGCCAGCGGGAGTAAATATCATTTTGCGGCCTGGGGGTCCAAGCAGGCCGTGCGGCAAGAAAAGCGGCTGGGCGAAGAGGAGCAATAACGAACTCATTGGAAAGACCGCTCTGGGGGGGTACGTTGTCGAATATGAGCAGTGGTGTTTCGAACGGGACGGGTTGCCTGTAGAGGCCCGCCGATGCGGCACGCAGCCGGGCGCGGCTCGAATTTTTTTCAGTTCTCGTCGCCTGGCTGGACGCGGCTCGATGGGTCCGACCGTCCTTCGTGAACAGCGTGCCGCACCTCGATGAATTTACGTGATGCAGCCTGCGGGGTCTCTCCCCTGTGGCCATGGAACAGAAGAGGAGGAGGAGGAGGAGGAGGAGGAGGAGGAGAAAGAAGAAGAGGAGGAAGAGGAGGAGGAGGAGGAAGAGGAGGAGGAAACGGGGGAGGGATCTTGGGGGGGGAAGGAGCAGGGGGAGGGAGCAGGGAATCAGAGCAGGCAGGGGAGTAGCAGGCGGTGCTCCTCCTGGCAGCACGACGGCCGTCGTCGGCGCGCCTGCCGGCCGCGCCCGGCGGCCGCCGACGGGCCGCGCGCCCGCGCCCGCGGGGCCGCAGGCGCCAGGCGGGGCGCGGCTGCCATCGGCGGGCATACCCGGGACGCAGACGCCGACGACGCCGACCACCGCCCACGGCGGTGCGGAGGGCTTCTCTTTTGCAGCGGGGGGCCGGGTGAGGAGGGCGGCGGAGAGGGCCGAAGAGGTCGACGAAGCGGCCGACGCAGGGGGGCCGGAGAGGGGGGAGCTCTCATGGGGCTTCTGTGTGCCGTCTTGGGGCTGTCTTGAGCTCCAGTGGGGCATCTCGGGGGGTTCCTTGCGACCCTCTTGTCCCGTCTTGGGGCCCTCTTGAGTCGTCTTGGGGCCCTCTTGGGCCATCTTCAGGCCGTCGTCTGGCAGTCCTGGGGTCTCTAGGGGCCGTCGTGTGGCAGTCTTGGGCTCCTCCAGAAGTCCTCTTGGGCCGCCTCGGGGCTCTCGTGGGGCTGTCATTGTTGTCCAGGTCTCTCTTGGGGCTCTTGCCCATTGGGCATGGACGATCGCCCTACGTAGACCAAACAGTGTGAACAGCGAAGAACATGGAAATGGAAACGCTCACTGATAATCAATGTCTTTGGTGTCTCGAAGGCCTCCTCGAGAGCGTTTTGGGGGTGTCTCGGGGGCTGTTTCCCCACCGGCCCATCGGACAAACCATCGAACACCTGTCCGAGAGATGCTTACGCCACCCTGCTGACCCCATTGAGGCCTTTCGGACCACTGAGGCCAATCGGACCAGCTTGCACGATTATGTCAATTGAGGCCTTTCGGACCATCTTGATGGAGATTCGGGTGCTTCCCGGCGTACTTTGAGATGGAGATTCATTCCCGTTGTCGCCTGGGGGCGTCGCAGAGTCCTCTTGGGGCCGGCGGGGGCCGTGTATAGGAGCCTCCTGGGAGGGCCCCAGCCGAGGGCCGGCGGGGCCATCTCATGAGGTCTACGGGGAGGAGCAGGAGGAGGGGAAGGAGCAGGAGGAGGAAAATCAGGAGGAGGAGGAGGAGGAGGAGGAAGTGGAGGGAGGAGGAGGAGGAGGAGGAGGAGGAGGAGGAGGAGGAGGAGGAGGAGGAGGAGGAGGAGGTGGAGGTGGAGGAGGTGGAGGTGGAGGAGGAGGAGGAGGAGGAGGGGGAGGAGGGTGGAGGAGGAGGGGGAGGCCCCTGGGGGCCTCTCGGGCCGCCCTGGGGGGCCCTTTTGCGCGCTTTTCTCGGGCTCTCTCGGAGGGCTCCGGGGCTCATCCCAGGGTGAAGTCAGGCCTGTCCCCCCATACAGGGAGATTTTCCACGAAAAATATAGATACCTCCAAAAATACCCCAAGAAGGTCAAACAATACTCAAAACATAGTCCCCAGGCTATGTTTGGAGCATTTTTTAAATTCCATTTGGAGTAGTCTTAAGTTTTCGTCGAAAATCCCCCTGTAGGGGGACGCGCCCGACTTACTCCTAGGGGTACCGAACCGCCAGCACTGGAGCTTGCCGTTCGTCTGCGAAGAGCTACGGGAGCCTACTGTCCTGCGCACCTCCGAGGCTCGCTGCGAGGTCATCTGGGGGTCTCTTGGGGCCACATTGGGGCCACAGTGGGCGCTGTCATGAGCTCGCCGCCCTCCCCACCAGTAGGGACGTGGGCCCAATCAAGCGGGTTCCGCTCGTACCGCTTAAGACTTAGGGAGTACTTCGTGCATGTAGAGCTAAATAGATATGTATCGCAGTTCTATTGGAGCTTGTACGACCATCCTTCGGGGGATATGGAGGTTGGGGGGGAGGGGGGGAACCAACATCTGACTCAATCGATCACAGTATCGATCTCACTCAACGGGACACCACGGGACACCACGGGACACTTGTCGCTATCACTATCGATCTCACTCAACGGGACACCACGTGACATCACGGGCCACCACGGAACACCACGGGACACCTCTCGAGCTCACTAATGGTCTCACTATCGATCTCACTAGCGATCTCACTCAATGAGACACCATAGGACACCACGGGACACCTCGGGACACCACATCGATCTCACTATCGATCTCACTATCGATCTCACTATCGATCTCACTGAACAGGACACCACGGGACACCATGAGACACCTGTCGATCCCACTATCGATCTCACTATCGATTTCATGTTTTGAGACACCACGGGACACCTCGGGGCACCACATCGATCTCACTATCGATCTCACTATCGACCTCACTCCACGGGACACCACGGGACACCTCGGGACACCGCGAGCCATCGCTGGACGGACGGACGGACGGGGGAGAATCACTCGTCTTGACTTCGCCCTAGCAACGGCGGACACTACGGGACACCACGGGACACCGCTAGGGCCACCGCCGGACGGACGGACGGAGGAGAATCATTTGTCGTGCCTTCGCCCTAGCAACGGCGGACACCACGGGACACCGCCGGGACACCGCCGGGGCCACCGCCGGACGGACGGACGGAGGAGAATCGTTTGTCGTGATTTCGCCCTAGCAACGGCGGGTTCATTCCTCTCGCGCGCCCACGCAGCTTCGCCTCGCCCGCACGCACGACACGATCGAAGCGAAACGATTTCCCGGCTGGGGGTCTCCGTTCCACTGCGATCTCACCCCACAACTTCCGATACTTGGATCCTGTTATGATGCATCATACGAGGATGCACGTGCACAGACCAAACTATGCACATACGTTTATACACGGCGTCTACCGGAGAAGGATCAGCGGGAGGATGAGGATCAGAACATGAACATGAGGATGATGAGGAGCGAGATGCAGGGGAATCTTCCGATTATCAGGAAGATGACGATGATATTGGGAATTGAGAGAACCAGCAGGAGCACAAGAGTGGATCAACTGAGGAACTGGAATCACAGGACATGCCATATGCATAGGGTAGAGCTGATGGGTGAGAGGGCTGATGGAAGATTAGGGGAACGGAGTGGAGGAGAGCGGAAGGGGTCGAGATGACGAAGAGCTGGAACGAGATCGTGTGAGAGGGTGAAGCGGATACGGAGAGGTTCTGGCAGCGGTGCCGGGATGGTTCGATTTGCAATCTCGTCGCAGCCTGCTTGTGCAAGCAGCTCTCGACTCGCCACGGACACTGGCTGCTGCTCTGTGAATGCTTGCTAACGGTTTTGCTGGCGGGTGGGAGGAGAGTGGGACAACACAGAAAAACAATTGCCATCATCGGCCCTGAAGGACGGGGGACGAAGCAGCATCGGACATCGGTGGAAGTTCCGGCCATCAGCGATCGTTCCGCCATGCACGGCATCCATCCGAAGGGCGACCGTGGTAGTCGTTCTTTCTTACAAGAAGAATAATCAATTTATACTGGTCAGAATAAGAAGAAGATGACGGATTCTACTCATTACAGTAGTAATTTTTAACCAGACGAAAGCACAAACAACATAAACGTACATTTTTGGAGGTCCACGCGGATTTCTCGGATCGGCGCTTGACCCCCTCCGGGCGTCGCTGGAGGCGCAGCTAGGGGTTGCCAGCGCAGATCCGAGAAGTCCGCGCAGAGCTGCGAAAGTTTATGCACACGCTGTTTGCTTATTCCTCGACTTTGCTCCACGCGAGGATTCTCCACGATGCCAGCTCCCTGACTGTGTGGGGGAAGGTTACCACCCACCAAACCACCCCAACCCAACCAGAAGGCCCAAATTTCCCCTCCATTTCCAGTGGGGGGGGGCTGGCGGGGAAAATAAAAAAACACGGTTGGAACCCGTACCCCCCCCACCCCAAACCCCAAATTTGGGTCATCGGGTCAGATCAGGTTGGGGTTGTCTGGTAGGTAGCCAGATGAGCGACGCAGCAAACAAAACGGGGCCGTCTGCGCCGACACTGGCGCGTAAGCTGCCCGCGTAAGTTCGGGCGTAAGCGCCCTTGCTTAACATGTGGCGTGCCGCATGGGCAGCCCGCGTAAGCCACCGCGTAAGGTCTCTAGATGGGGTCCGGCCGGGTGCAGGAAGGGGGGGAAGTGCAGGTGCAGGAAGGGGGGGAAGGGGGAGGAGGAGGAGGGGGAGGGGGAGGAGGAGGAGGAGGAGGAGGAGGAGGAGGAGGAGGAGGAGGAGGAGGAGGAGGAGAAAGGAAAAAGGAGAAAGGAAAAGGAGAAAGGAGGAGGAGGAGGAGGAGGAGGAGGAGCCCCTGGGCGCGTGCCCAGAGGGGGTCCGGCCCTGAAGGTCGCCCCGGCAGCGTCACCTCGGAGAGGCTCGCCCGGGGGCTGCGCGGTGCCTCTCTCTCTCTCTCTCCCGCGGGCTGCCTCGCGCTGCGGCTCGGCTCCGCCTGCGCCCCTGCCTCCCCCTTCTCGAGGTGCGGAGGAGGAGGGAGACAGGAGGGGGAGGAGGAGGAGGAGGAGGAGGAGGGAGGAGGAGGAGGAGGAGGAGGAGGAGGAGGAGGAGGAGGAGGAGGAGGAGGAGGAGGAGGAGGAGGAGGAGGAGGAGGAGGAGGAGGAGGACTTGAAGTGATGTGGCTTCGGGGCGCCTGAACCCCATGGGTGGAGCCAGTGGCCTGGTATTACCACCCTGGTACCGCGCAGGGTCAGGACCACTCTGGGACAACGCGGAAATCTTCCCGGAGGGCCGCCCTCCGAGGGTGTCCCGCAAGACAACGCCGGCTTTGTCCAACAAAGCTTGCCCTTCCTCGAATGCTACAGCCCAGCATGAACGCAGCGCCCGATGGGATGGTGCAGTCAGGGCGGATAGAACCTGAAGGCCCCTATTGGTTCAAGCTGGTTTGTCGGAAAGAACAAGGGGATTCCCCAGCAAAGAGGGAAGATATGAACCGAAACTCAAGCAATTTCCCCCCTCCTCTGAGCAGGGGCTAACCTACTCATGCTTCGCATAGCCTTTTTGGGCTCCTCTTGGGACCCCTTCGGGTCCTCGCTGGCCCCTCTTCAGGGCTCCATGGGTGGTGACTGCCGCCCCCGCAACGACAATCTGGCCTTCCCACGGCCGCCTAATCGGGCTCAAGTTTTCACATGCCAAGCACCTCCCCCCATTGCTGGGTGGGGGATGCCCATACCTGTCCATCGACAGGGATGACCATCTTTGCTTTAGGCTATTTGGCACCGTCAGTGCCGTAGGTGAAGAAAGGGGATGCCCATGCCTGTCCATCGACAGGGATGTGCAGCCTAGCTTTCGGCCCTGGGGTGGAGATCAATACCTGTCCATCGACAGGGGTTGGCATCCAGATCCTATCTGACACAGCCAGTGCCAAAGGCTGCAGTGGTCGCTATGGTAGCATGGCCTTTTTCGCGGCCGTTTCGCGAGCCATGACCTTCCCACGGCGACCCCGCCTTCGAGGGGCCAAGCCCTCACCAGTGCACGCTATGCACGCGGCCGGGGTCAGAACCCGATGTGCTGAAGCCTGAACTCGTGGCTGCAGCCGGGCCCGTGCAACTCCGCGAGACCCGAGTTTGAGCTCTTGCCCGCGGCCGAAGCACGCGGCACCGGTTTTTGGGCCAGTGCCCAACCTAGTGCCCGCGGACAAGGTCCGCGCCTACTCAATCGGGCTTTACACCATCCGCGACCAGGGCCCATGACCCCGCCGCCATGCTTGTCCCTCCCCCAGTCTGCTGCGGTCGGCGGCCATGGGTTGCGCCTTCGCCTGTGACCAAGAGCAATCCTGAGTGGCTCTTAAGAGGGTACTGGGGATGAGGGAGGGGTTGGAACGCTCCTCAGCTCCTGGGGATGGGGTCGAGAGCCATGACAGACAGTGCGCAGGCACCGTCTTGCGACCCACGCCCAGCCGAGCACCGCTGGGATTTGTACAGCCTTCGAATATCACCCCTCTGTCAGGTCTTGGCACCGAGGCCGCACACCTCGCTCTGTCAGAACGCGGCATGTGAGACTCCTCTTCCTCCTCCACCACGTCCATAGGGGGTCTGGATGGGGAGGATGGAGGGGTTGGAAGGCTCCTCAGCTTCTGGGGATGGGGCCGAGAACCATGACAGTGCGCAGGCACCGTCTTGCGACCCACGCCCAGCCGAGCACCTCTGGGATTTGCGCAGCATTCCACCATCACCCCTCTGTCAGGTCTCGGAACCGAGGCCAAAACCTCGCTCTGTCAGAACGCGGCATGTGAGACTCCTTTTCCTCCTCACTCGTCCATGGAGGGGCGGGGTTGGAGAGGAAGGAGAAGGTTTGTTGAGGCTGGGGGTGGTGCCGCCAAAGCGGTCTTAGGCCTGCGCCTTTTGGGCTGGCCCGTGCCCGTTGGTGGGCCCGGCCGTATCTAAACGAAACCGTCGCCTACCTGGCACCGTCGGTGTCGGAGACTGCCGCGCCCACAACGGCAATCTGGCCGTCCCGCGGCCGTTTTGAGCGGACCACAGTTTTCACGCGCCAGGCAAACCCCCATTTCGGGGGTGGGATGCCCATGCCTGTCCATCGATAGGGATGGGCATCCTAGCTTGAGGCACGATGTGTGGATTCCAACACATGTCCATCGACAGGGGTGGGCATCCGCACCGGAACGGCGCCTACTTGACACCCTCGGTGCCGGAGGCTGCCGCGCTCGCTATGGCATCATGGCCTTTTTGCGGCCATTACGCGAGCCGTGGCTTTCATATGCCTAGCAGCACCCTCGTTGCGAGAGTGGGGTCCCTATGCCTGTCCATCGACAGGGATGGGCATCCTAGTTCGAGGCTCGATGGGCGGATGCCCATGCCTGCCCATTGACAAGGATGGGAACCCAACCCAATAGGACCCCAATTGGCCACCTTCTATGTCTAAGGCTGCCTTGCCCGCAACCGCGAAAGGCCGTCCCACGGCCATAGGAGCGGGTCACATTTCTCGCATGCCAAGCAAGCCCTCACTGCGAGGGTCGGGTGCCCATGCCTGTCCACCGACAGGGATGGGCATCCTAGCGTTAGGCCCGAGTTTAGATGCGAACTCCTGTCCATCGACAGGGAGGCATCCAGATCAAAACGGCGCCTTCCTGACATCGTCAAAGGCGAAGGCTGGCGCGCCCGCAACAGCAGTTTGGCCGCTGCGCGGACCTGGGAGCGGGCCATAGCGCGCGTATACCAAGTAGCCCTCATGTACGAGGGAGGGGATGCCCATGCCTGTCCATCGACAAGGTTGGGTATCCCAGAATACGGCACGAACGACGGGGTGGGCACCCAAGTCGGCACGGCACTTACATGAGACCGACGAAGTCGAGGGCTGCCGTGCTCGCAGTGGCAGTGGGGCCGTCGAACGGCCACTGAAGCGGGCCAACAACAACCAGTGGCGCGCTAGCCGGAGCTAGCTTGACGCCACCCGCTTCCAATGAACCTCTGGTTGTGTCCAGAGGTCGGAACACTGCCTCCCAAGAAATCGCGCCTTGTTGGCGCGGGGTGCCGCGCCTGCAGCGGCAGCGTGACCGACCCGGAGCCACCTAAGCAGGCCAATGATGAGGTTGAACATGGACGCCGCCGCCTGTGCATCGACAGGCACGGGAATCCGAGCTCGCGCCTTGCGGAGGGTCTCAAGAAGACCCAGCGGCGGTGCAGTTGGGGCCCACACGCAGACCCCCATGCCACTGTCGCCCCTCTGTTCACTCCACGGGTGGCTCGCCCAGGGTGCTCATCGGAACACAACCTTCGTGGCGCCACGTGCGTCCCCAGGCGATGTGCCCCCCGAGGAAGATTGAACAATTAGGGGGGCGGGGAGGAGGAGGAGGAGGAGGAGGAGGAGGAGGAGGAGGAGGAGGAGGAGGAGGAGGAGAAGAGGAGGAGGAGGAGGAGGAGGCGGAGGAGGAGGAGGAGGAGGAAGAAGAAGAAGAAGAAGAAGGAGAAGCAGAAGAAAAAGAAGAAGAGGAGGAGGAGGAGGTGGAGGAGAGGCGGAGGAGGAATATGACCCGAGGTCAGGTGGGAGGAGGAAGAGGAGGACCGTGCGGGATTATGGCGGTGCCGCAGAGGACGGCGCGGCGGTGCAAGCTGCGGCCACCGGCTCGAAAAGAGGACCCATGCCCTAGGCCGACCCTGGGCGCTTGCGGCTTTGTCGCACTGTTCTGCTGCTGCCTTTGCCTCCCCCATCTCCTCCTGTTTGTTGGCGCTTGCTCGCCGTGTTTACCCGCTCCCTCCTCCCTCTTCTTCCTCCTCCTCCTCCTCTCTTGTCTCCTCCTCCTCCTTCCCTCCTCCTCCTCCTCCTCCTTCCCCTTTCCTCTTGTCTCCTCTCTGCGCTGCCGCACTGCCGCCCTGCGCGCGCCCGCCCACGAAGGCGGCCGGTCGGAGGCGGCCAGGAAGGGCCGGCAGAGGCTCGTCCCCCCAGGTCTGGGTCAGGGGCTGCGGCTCGCAGGCCTGGGGGCATTTCAAGATTGTACAGGTCTGCCAGCATGACCACGCTCCTCCTCCTCCTCCTCCTCCTCCTCCTCCTCCTCCTCCTCCTCCTCCTCCTCCTCCTCCTCCTCCTCCTCCTCCTCCTCCTATGCTTAGCACGCTTGCCGTTTCACCCAATTGTCTAGTATGTCTCACAACTTCTGCCAACGCACCTATGTTGTGCATGGCGTCTGTCTGTCTGTCTGCTAGCATGACCACACCGTCGCGGGGTGCACCCCCAGCCACACTTTTCGTGTACATTCTCGCACGAGCTGGCTTCTGCACGGCAGCCTAGAATCGATCGTCCGACCCCCCGCGGCAACACAGCCCGCTGCCACTGCCTCGGGTCTCGCGCGGCCCGTTCCCCGCGCTGCACCCGCGAGCCTTCCCGGCCCATCTGTCCCCTTGCCGGCACAGCGCAGTTGTTGACGACCTCGGGCTCTGACTTCAACTCCCATTTCTAACGGGATGGTGTCCGAGCCGTCGAGCCGTCCAGCTTCGCCTACCACGTCCGCTTCTCGCAGTGCATCGGCGGATGGCTGATGATGCCGGGCTCCAGCTTCGCCTTCCTTCTCTTGTGGAGCAGCGACAGCGCTTGCTTCCACTGCCCGCCTGTCTCGCATGTGCTGTGTGCCCATCGTTTTCGCCATCTCCTTTGGGCTCTAGCTAGGCACTGTAGCTGATGGCGTCGGGCTTTTGCTTCGCCTTCCACCGCCCGCCGAGTGGCGAAAGAGCCCACTGCCACTGCCCGCTCTTGTCGCAAACTATTTGCACGGCGGAGCAGACTACGACATTGGCCTCCAGCTTTGCCTCCCTCATCTGGCACACTTTGTTCCCAGCGCTACTTAGAGACTAGCTTGGGCTCATTCTTGGCCTCCCGCTTCACGCATGACGGGGTCTAGGTCTTCTC